ATGGGGTAGGGTGGGGTGAGGGTTGGTAAGTAAAAATGAGGAGCCAAGGATGACTCCTATTTCAGGCTGGAGTAACTGGGAAGGCTGGGAAGACTAGTGGAGAAACAGGTTTGGAGAGAGAAGTCTCAGTCCCTTAGTCATTCACCTCAGTTCCTTAGTCATTGGAATGTCTTAGATCTCTATCTACCATTTCTTTAAAAACATACGTGAGCCCAGCAGGCAGTCCTGGCTACTTGGGAGGCCGAAGAGGGAGGATCCCTTGAACCCAGGAGTTTGAGGCATACCTGGGCAACACAGCAAGACCCTGTCTCTCTAAAGTCAACAACAACCAAAAAAAAAAAAAAAAAAATGCAGAAAAAGGCTGGGCACAGTGGCAGACGCCTGTAATCCCAGCATTTTGGGAGGCTGAGGTGGGTGGATCACATGAGATCAGGAGTTCGAGACCCGCCTGACCAACATGGTGAAACCTCGCCTCTACTAAAAATACACAATTAGCCAGGCATGATGGCACACGCCTGTAATCCCAGCTACTTGGGAGGCTGAGACAGGAGAATCGCTTGAATCTGGGAAGCGGAGGTTGCAGTGAGCCGAGCTAGTGCCACTACACTCCAGCCTGGGTAACAGAGTAAGACTCTGTCTCAAAAAACAAAAAAACAGAAAAAAAGATGTGTAGCAGAAAACTGCTGTCTGCTGGGCCTAAACTAACCCCAGATTTTTAAAATATATATATAGCAAGAGCTTACAGAACAGGCAGCACCAAGTGGGAGCTGGAGGGCTTCTCTTGATGCATTTGATAAATAAACAGTTTTTACTCAGATTATATGTTTGCTTAGATTTGGGCTAAAGATACCCAAAGCCGCCCCTCGGTATTCACACTCATTAAGAAATTAGGGAAGAGATAGTACTATTGAACTATTTTCCAAAAAGAGAAAAAAAAAGGACAAAAACCCAAAACAAATGGGATGTGATGTACATTTTCCATGTTATTTTATACATGAGCTATCTTTTCAACACTGAAGTTGGTTCAGCAACAAAATAACTAAAGATGTAAATATGCAAGTCAAGAGCCAAAACCATTCTCAACAGCCCAAGGTTGTGAACGTATTTAATTTGCCCCTTCCTGGGGAGTCATTTCTTGGATCATTGACTTACTATTATTCTGTAAAACAGTGGTAGCCCCTGCCTTCCTCTGCTTGCTGCCAGAGTATGATCCAGCTGTGGGGTCTGAAGAGTTTATGTTTATTGGATTTTAATGACTTAGTTAACAAAGGTCATTCCTAAAAGTAATAGAAAACTAAGTGTGTGGAAATAGAATGGAAAAGACTGACTCGAGGGTTATTTCTAGTAGTTCCTTGGTGGTGTCCTTAGATTCATGTTTAATCCTTAAAAGCGGCCGGGCGCGGTGGCTCAAGCCTGTAATCCCAGTACTTTGGGAGGCCGAGACAGGCGGATCACAAGGTCAGGAGATCGAGACCATCCTGGCTAACACAGTGAAACCCCGTCTCTACTAAAAAATGCAAAAAAACTAGCCGGGCGGGTTGGCGGGCGCCTGTAGTCCCAGCTACTGGGGAGGCTGAGGTAGGAGAATGGCGTAAACCCGGGAGGCGGAGCTTGCAGTGAGCTGAGATCCAGCCACTGCACTCCAGCCTGGGCGACAGAGCGAGACTCCGTCTCCAAAAAAAAAAAAAAAAAAAAAAAAATCCTTAAAAGCAATTATGAAGGATTCTTCCTCATAATCAATTTACTGATGCTATATTCAACTATACTTGTAAAATGTAATTTTAGACCTCTCAGTAACAAAAGGAACAGGGCTTAAAATATGTTCGATAATAGCGGCATGAACAATGTATCGTTAACATATTGCTGACAGTATAATTGTAATTATGTATAACTGTTAACACTTGATGTCACATCTGTAGTGCTTCCATTATCGTTGACAGTAGTAAATAACTTCAGCCTCAGGTGAAATCTGGTTGGATACAAATCTCCAAGTTAAAAGAAACCTCAAATATCATTTAATCTTGTCCTTTTAAATATTTAGTAACTGTGAATGGTAGTAAATATTTATCCAAATGATGTTTATTAGACTGTAAAAGAATTTCCAGGCTGGGTGTGCTGGCTCACGCCTGTAATCTTAGCACTTTGGGAGGACAAGGCAGGAGGATCACTTGAGGCCAGGGGTTCGAGAACAAATTGGGCAACACAACCAGACTTTATCTCTATTCAAAGTAAATTAAAAAAAAAAAAAAATTTAGGGGCCAGGCGCAGTGTCTCATGCCTGTAATCCCAGCACTTTGGGACGCCGAGGCAGGAGGATCACCTCAGGTCAGGCGTTCAAGACTAGCCTGACCAACATGGAGAAACCCCATCTCTACTAAAAATACAAAATTAGCCAGGCGTGGTGGTGCATGCCTGTAAACCCCGCTACTCGGGAGGCTGAAGGAGAATCACTTGAACTCGGGAGGCGGAGGTTGCGCTGAACCAGGATCATGCCATTGCACTCCAGCTTGGGCAACAGGAGCAAAACTCTGTCTTCAAATAAATAAATAAATAAATTAGCTGGGTATGGTGACACACACCTGTAGTCACATCTTCTCAGGAGGCTCAGGAGAGAGCACTGCTTGAGCCCAACAGTTCGAGGGTGCAGTGAGCTATGATTGCACCACTATACTCCAGCCTGGGTGACAGAGCAAGACCCTGTCTCAAAACAAAACACAACAAAACAAAACAAACAAAACAAAACAAACTTGAGCTAAATGGTGATTGAATTATTTAAAATTAAATTGATGAAATCATTTAAGAATACGTGGAAAGAAATAAATTTAGTCATTCCCCAGGTATAAATTTTTTCCACCTCAAAATCCAATGACATGAGATATAAATGTATAGTTCACATATGTAACACATTTCTCACATGGTTACAGGACCTTTCTGATGTGGCTCTGGTTGACTTTTCCAGCCTTATCTCATTTCTCCTCCCTCCTTCCAACCCTGTTTTTTCCTCCTCCTCTCCTTAGCTACAGCTTTACTAGTCTTCCTACTGCCAGCCTCAAACCCATGCTGCTCTCAGGTCTCAGGGCCTATGTACAAGTAATTCCCACTGCCTGGAATCCCTTGCCCTCATTCTTTGCTGGGTCATTCTGCAGATCCAGTACTGCTTCCTCTTGGGAGTCTTCTGTCCATCTCTCTTCCCCCAATCTCTGAACCCCACCAAGACCTCAGTAGTTCTTGAGCAAAAGCCTCTGCTTAGTTTTCCTGGGATGACCAAAACGAACACCTTCCTATCCATTGTTCAATCCCCAATCCCTAGACCAGAGCTGCAACATAATAGGTACTATAAATGAATGAATGGATAAAGACAGCGACCACTGAAGAACTTGAAATTATAGTTTACACATGTAAACAATAACATAAATCTGAAGAAATAAAGTTTTGTTGTTTTTTTTTTTTTTTTGAGATGGAGTCTTGCTCTGTCGCCAGGCTGGAGTGCAGTGGTGTGATCTGGCCTCACTGAAACCTCCGCCTCCCGGGTTCAAGTGAGTCCCCTACCCCAAGTAGCTGGAACTACAGGCGCGCGCCACCGTGCCTGACTCGCTTTTTTTTTTTCTATTTTAGTAGCGATGGGGTTTCACCACGTTGGCCAAGATGGTCTCGATCTCCTGACCTCATGATCCGCCCGCCTCAGCCTCCCAAAAGTGCTGGGGTTACAGGCGTGAGCCACTGGGCCTGGCCAAGTTGTTTTTTTTTTAAAAGTTAATATACTCACTTCTTCTCTAAGGCGGGAATATACACAGCCTGGCATCAGTTTGACATAAAACAAAAATTTTAGCATTGTTGTATGCTAAATTTCTTTCACTAGGTTAAAAAAATGTAGAATCCAAAGAGCTGTAAATGCAAACGACAAATACTGTACAAAAATCTATGAAGCATATATAAGTCACAACTTGGAAGCTTTCTCCTCAGCAAATGAGTTAAAAGAAAAGTATTTGAAACCTTCTTGGTGGAAAACGAATGACCTTTAAAAATGCCAACATTTTCTCCAGAGAATAGATTTGGTCTGAGTTCTTCATTTCTGAAATTGTACAAGATAAGACGACTTGGTTTTGGGAGTCAAACTGCATCCTTCTATAAAGATTTCAGATCTTTTAAGTCTCCATACAAAACACTGCCCTTATTTTGAGAACAAAAGGAACAATAAGACAACTTAGGCGGGGCACAGCAAGAAGGGCCTTGAAACAAAGTCCCTACTTAGGCGGGGCAGAGCAAGAAGGGCCTTGAAACAAAGTCCCTGGAAAGGTAAAAAGAACAACAAAAATAGTAAGTTTAGAGCTCGTATTAGATCTGATAACTCAAAACTGCACAACTTTTGCCATACATCGAAAGCAACATGGGAAAACAGAAAAAGAAATCATAAACATTTTTTGAGTGTCCTAACTTGTAGAACCCCTAATAATGAATCCAATACACTTGGACAAAGCTCTCTTTTTTTCCTCTCTCTCCTTCAAATCGCAGACTGGGGTGTGGGGTGGGGGGCGGGGAGCAAGACGCGGTCTCTAATAAATACAAGACCCAGCCTCGTGGCGTGTTTAATTGCTGCCATTTTAGAAGAAAAAAGGGGTATTTACAATTAATGAACCAAACTACCAAACTAAAATCATGACAGTAGGAGGAGTAAATGGAACTGTCTGGGCCAAGTTTCAGGGAGGCCCATGCTGGGGGCGCTACGCCCTCCCCCCACCCATACCTCGGGGCTCTCCCGTCGCTCCCAGCCCCCAGCGCGGACCCTCAGGCGCCGGTGGCCTAACCTTACAGACTTGGCAGGATGTAGCCCCCTTCTCCCTTCTCAAAGAGAGAAAAGCGCGAGGAAGAGACGCAAACCGTATTTCCGTGTCCAAGCGTTGACACCTGCGGAGCCGCGCGCGGGGCGCCCACATTCGTTCCCGGGAAGCCCCAGCCCGGCCGCCCGCCCCGGCCCCAGCTCCAACCCGGGCCTCCCTTACTCTGGGGCTCCATGGTCGGCTGCTCCCCGGCCTCCGCGGGCGAGCCCCCAGGCTCCTAACGCCTCTCAGCCAGGGCAGGCGTCGCTACGGTTACCCTGACAACCCGGAGGCGGAGTGGGCGGAACCAGTGGGACGGCGAGCGGGAGGGACCAAAAGCCGCAGGAAGTGAGGGCGCGCGTTAGGACCCGCGCGTCGCCTGGGGCACTCAGCGAGGGTAGCGGCCAGGTCACCGGCTGAGGACACTGCCCCTGAGGCCCGGCCAGGCGGTTGCGCCCTCCCTGGCGGGCCCCACAGGACCTGTGCCCCGACGTCTGGGGTAGCGGCCTGCGGCCCCTGCCGTCGCCGACCCGCGGCGTCCGTCGGGCGAGTGGGCCTGCCCACGGGGAAGGCGCCGGCCCTGGGCCTCCCTCTCCGGACTCGGGAGCCGCCGCTGCAGGTAACAGCGGGGCCCCGGCGGCGGAAGGGGTCGGGGGTCGGCGCAGGAGCAGGGGCGCCTGGAGCCGAGTGGGCGGCCCCGACGCACCTGTTGCGGCCGCCTGGGGGCCCCCTGCCCGCCGTTGGCCATGGATGTTCCCCGCCCCAACCCCGAAACGCCGAGGGCGACCTCCGCGCCTGCTGTTCCGGGAGCCGCGCCTCAGCGGGAGGGTCCTCGCACCAGGGGGTCCCTCCGAGCCCGGGCAAAGGCAGGGCCTGGGGCGGTCCCTCGAGCCCCCCTGACGGGAAGCGTGGAGCAGTGGAAGCCGCCGCCGTCGTCGCTGTCGCCCCCAGTGAGCCGGGCGCGTCTCCTGAATCGCGAGAGCCAGGAGCACGGCTTTGCCCGGCTTTGCCCCGTCATCCCCGTGTCCCATTTCAGGCAGGGGGCCCGGGTTGGATCTTTCCCGCTGGCTTCGTTTTTTGTGTGTGGATTTGTTTCAGTCCTTCGCGTTTCCGGTTGAGTTACGGAATCAGCCCACACGTTTTGTAGCCAAACTTTGTAGGACTGTGAAACAATGTAACATTATCCTACAGAATAGCCTTTCACCCTGGTTTTAAAACACAGTGATTCAGGGTTTGCTTTAAGAAAACTTTGAGGATCACAAGGGATTGTTATCTGGTAGGTTGTAAAAATTCAAACAACCGGGAGAGTATCATAGGTTCCGGAACGCTGGAAGGAGGAAAGAAAAATGGAGAGGAGAGAAAAAGGATAAGCAAGAAAGTGCAGGGGGCTTAAGGGTGTGGGGGGCTGCAGGATTGATTTAGTACTCAGGTCTGGAGATTGTGGCCCCTCTATTAATTCCAACCGCTGCTCCAGACGGTACTTGAGGGAAATGGAAGGAAGAGCCGTTTTGGGGGGTTATGCAAGTGATTACTAATCTTGCCACTAGAAAGATTTCCACTCCATGGATGACAAGGACACTAAGGAGAATTACTTTCCTCTTAGAAAGGGAATCGTTCAGAGGTTAATTGAACTTGAGAAGCATATATTCTGTGATGGAAGCGACATTTATTATATTCTGCCAAGTTAGGCTTTCCCCCTCTCAGACTATATGGGGACTTTTTCAGATTAATTGTCAAAACAAGAAGTTTTATGTGTGGATATTGACAAGCAGCGTGAGATATACAGAACACATAATTCTTAAGCTAAAGTATTAAGGTAATAAATTAAGGGTGGAAAGTAAACGCTTCATGGAACCTTAACTCCCTGTTCCTGAAATTTAGAAACAGGGGCCTCATTTCTAGACAGAAAGTATCTAAAGATCAGCAGTACTTCTGTATCCAGTTGTTCTCAAGTTCTAGTTTACATATCATTAGCAAAATCACAAAGTGGTCTTTTCATTCAAGATACAAAATAGAGTGATCAGTGTATCATAATCAAAAGTGACAAGATAGTGATTTTAAAAACACCTGGGTTTTATTGACAAAAGAAAAGGATTAAGTCTGCTCAAACAGTAAAGGATTAGCCTTAGTATTTTTTTAAAAAGAAGAAACAACACTGCAGGTCTCTATGCTAAAGTGATAAGGCCTGAGGAAGTTTTAAGGTTGGAAAAAATGGGGATATGTATTGGTGAAATACTTTGCAATCGTATAGAGTGATTATTTTATCAGCAGCTGTGAAGTTGACTTTGAGGAAATTTAGAATTGAAATACTTTAGGTGACAGGTAAAGGCAACTGTGAAAAGCAACATCTGATTTTAGGGGACAGGGTACCTATGGAAGAAGACTGGTTAGGGGTGGAAGTGAGGCAGGAACAATACTCAGTTTCTATTCCTCTAGCACCTAGTGCCATGTACTTGTTAAATGTTTGTTGAATACGAGTGAGAAGGGCTTTAGAGAAATTGCTTTGGATATAGGGATACACTTGACTCTTGGAGAAAATACCCGCGATCATAAAGTTGCTAATGAGATAGGTGTGGGAGATGAATGGTAAGGACATTGATTGTAACTTTTTGGAGTTTTCTACCATTGTGTTTTATTTCTTTTCACTGGCATGTTCAGTGTGTTATTAGTGGTCAAACGAAAAGGAATAAAGTTCTAGATACACATTTTTTTTAAGTTTCCAAGCTCATTCCTACACAGAACAGTTACATTATTGTTTACTTTGCTGATGTTTAACTAAATGTAGCAAACTGAAGCATTATGGATAGAGAATAACAAAGTAACAATGAAGAGACAGATGTAGTCTTTTTCTTATTTAAATCTCTTGACTACCTCAGAATTCAAAGTAAAAACAACTTAAGTGGGAGGTTAACATTATTTAATGCAAATCGGTTGATAAAAAATGTAGCAGATGACCTTGTTAATAATAGTTCTGTCTCCTAGCCTCACTGTGGTAAATTGAAGAAAGTTTCCATTTTTGTTTTTGTTGGTTTTAGGGTTTTTGTTGGTTTTTGTTTTCTTTACCAGAGTGAGGGTACTTTTTTCTCTGATACTTTCTGAAACTCTTAAGGAGTTCGGTCGAAGGTGGAAATCAATCAAATTTCAATTTTTGGTGTTTTACCTTTTTGTTCTCCAAACTTGTTATGGTCTATGTTCAGTTTGTTGCACTCACGTGGAACGTCTCTCAGCCCTTTCCTTGTCTATGGTATAAAGGAGACTGCAGGACCATGCTGCCCCGGTTTCTGGAAAGTCTTTCCGGATGAGGCTAATGCCTACTCAGTGCACTTCTCTCTCCTACTGGCGGTGCTACACGGTTTAGCATTTAGCCCTATAGTATGCTTTCTTACAGAATTTTATCTCATGTGTATGGATCTTGTACCTCTGACTAGATTAAATATTTTTGGAGCTAAGTGCATGACTTACGCTTCTTCTGTGATGTTTTTAGCACACAGTGGGCTTTATTGTGTACCTGATAATTTAAGTAGGATAATAATAGGTCAAATCTTTAGTTAGGGGTCATTGCATTAATTTCTAGCGTTGCCCCTTTGGGAAAACCAAAAGCTATTACTTTGATAGCATTGATAACTTGGGATAATAAAACCTGCAATGGTTATCTGATAGTCTGGTTGTGAGAATCAAGATAAATGTGATTATAGATATCTTGCATATCGTAATGAACTTTTTAAATGTAAAGGACTGTTAATCTTGTATATCGTAATGAACTTTTTTAATGTAAAGGGCTGTTATTGACTTAGGCATAGAGCAGACATTGATTCCGCATTCACAATGTGTTAGGTACTTCCTGGGCTCTGGAATTGCATGTCATAAAGGGTGAACAGGAAATGACCAGGTGCTTCCAAAGCAGAAGAACAGCCTGGGCTGAGGCGAACAACTAAATCGTGGTTTGTTGTGGCTGAACCAGAGAATACTTTATGTGTATTAGAAGAAAATGGGAGGAAGTAAGGCCAGAAAGGCAAATGTGGGCTAAATCAGAAGGAACCTAAGGACTGTGGGTTTATTTTCCTTAAAGGTAATAAGGAGGATTTGGGTCAGTGACTGGATCAGTTTTGCATTTGAAAAGGATCACTGGCAACGCTCACATGACAGATTGGTAGAGAGCCTAAATGAGAGACAAAAAAATTGGAGATGTCGCTGAAGCTCAGTGAAGAAATGAAGAGGTAACTAGGAGAGCGATGGTGGGAATAAGAAGGAGGGGGCCACTAAAAGAGGTAGAATTGGCAGATCTTGGTGGTACAGGAGATGAAGAAAGAGAAGCCAGGGATGACAGTGGGGTGATAGAGTGGATTGTTCTGCTATTCATTGAACTCTAAAGAAGAAAAAAGTTTTTGTTGAGGAGTTAAAGAAGTGGGGTAGATGATGCGTCCAGTTTGAGATGCCTGTCATATGCATTGAAAGATCCCGTGATCTTTCAATAGTAGTAGTTGGACATGTGGGTCTGGAACTAAAGGAAAAAGTCTGAGATGAAGATAGAAATTTGGATTAAGCATTTAATAATTGAAGTTAAAATGTGATTATTTTCTCCAGGGATATTATGTGGAATAAGAGGGTAAAGGAGGATGCACATTTTACGTTGTGGGGAGGGGCTGATAGTGGAAGAACCCGAGGAGGCTAAAGACCAGTGCTCAGAAAAGGGAGCTGAAAATCTGGGAGGATTAATGGAAGAGTTCTTACTCCTGAGGAGTTCATGCATTGATTGACTGAAATGATTATATTTTCCTCTATCTACGATACAACGCACAACACAGTTCATCTATTATTGTTTTATTAAAGTTAATGTGAAATAACTACCCATTACTTTGTTAACTACAGCAGAAATCTTGATATTTATGTTTAAAAATGTTTTTAAAACATTTTTTAGATACAGAGTGTTACTATGTTGCCTAAGCTAGTCTGGAACTCCTGGGCTCCTCCCACCTCAGCCTTCCAAAGTGCTGGGATTACAGGCATGAGCCACCATGCCTGTGGCTATTTATGGGTTTTCTGTCTCCATTTGGGACAACAAATCAAGTAAAATGTAACTTTAGAAGTTGATTATGATTATGGCTCAAGCAAATACTTTTTAAAAAAGAGACAGATGGATAAAAAGTTCATTTCATGTGTGTCTCAGGTAAAATATGTTAACTTGGGGAGACCAGCAGTAGCCTGTTCTTTAAATCTCAGCTTTTTGAATCTCACACAAAATTTTTCTCAGATATCTAACTAGACTACTTAAATAAGCCAGATTAGTATTTTAGCATACTTTATTAA